GCGCCCGGCTTACCTCCGTGTCGAATGCAGTGCCCGTTGCCAGCTTGATCATGACATCTGCCTGTAACTGAGAGATAACACCTTCTGCCTTCCACAGGTCTATTGCCAAAGCCAGAAACTTGCTGAAATCAATGCCTGCTTTGCCCAGCTCGCCCTTCAGCCGCGACCGCTCGGAGCGGCTGCCGGCGGCGGCGCACCGCTCAGTGAAGAAGTCCTTGAACTCCTCCCAGAACACGATGGAATGGCAAAAGAACTTGATCTCGTGGGAGTAGCCTGACTGAACGGCGATGGCGACGCGCGCCTGTGGATGTGCTTCACAAAACCTTTCCCACGAGTTGAAGCGCGACTTCAGCTGCTTAGCTTGGTTAGCTGCACCGCTCAATAGCGGCGTTGGACCTAGAGCCTTGCTGCCGGACTGGGCACCATGCTCATGTGTGCTCATGGGGGTTGAGTTCGTTGGAAAAGCGTATTACGGTTGCTGGGATGCCAACAGAACAAACGGGAGGGAGAATGATGCATGATTGAGGATGATGTCCCCAATGACCCTCCAGGTGGGGGGCCATCATCATGCCCATCATGGGGCACATCCTTACCGGGAGGCCTACCTGCTGAAGTGATGATGTACCATTCTTACAACGGGGCCATGTAACGCCCAAACGGATGCTGTTCGTGGGGGCTCGCAGCGCCGGCGTGAAAGGAGCTGGCCGTGGGCGGGCCAGTCTGTCCCACGTCGGAGGGACCAATGTTGTGACGATCCTGTTGTCCACTCCGTGCAGGTTTGCCCCTAGTACACAGGCTGCGTGTGACATGATGATTGAAGTCGAGTTGCGGAAAGACGGTCAATAGCTGTCGGGCGGGCAGCGGCAGCTAGCGCCAGGCCAGGTGGCGGGCGGCGGAATAAAGAGCATCTTGGAATCTTGCGACACGTCGTTAATATAATGCCGGCGGCTTTCGTGAACCGCACTGCCTTTCGCGAACCGAAATGGACGAGGCAGCCTACAAGCTGGAGGTGTATCACGAGCTAGAGGCGCTGGAGCACCGCCTGCATCAGGTTGGGCATGAACCCGCCTTTTGGGGGCCGGGCAGATCGATCGAGAGGGCGGCGGAGGCGGCGCAGGGCTTGCAAGAGCATGGAGAAGCGGGCATGCGTGTGCCTCATCCTGATTGCTGTGCTTTGCCCACCGATCCGCCTGTCCGCAGGTCCTAGACGAGATAGGGCTGGCCAAAGCGGCGGTTCTGGAGTCGGAAACGCTGAATCAGGCCGAGTTCTTGCGGCGCCACGCAGCAGCCACAGTGGCAAACGCCGCGCGCCTGTTGCGCGCCTCCCACGACACAGCACTAGCCACCAGCTGCTTGTCGCAACGGCAGGAGCAGCAGAAGCCGCAACAGCAGCAACCAGTGGCGCTCATGAGCTAGCTGCCGCAGCTGGCGATGCATGGTGGAGCGCCCGCATAGACGCGTCGACGTCGTACGGCGGCGGCACGTTCGTAGTCGTCCGGCCTCCACTCCACCCTACATTCACTGGTGGGCGATAGCGCGCACGTGTCCCCAGGTGTGAATTAGGCTCCTATTGGGCCATTTTCATCAACTGTGCAATTCATCACTTGAGCGCCTTTTGATTCAGTCTGCTTCTCAGTAGTCCGCGCCGCAGTTTTCCTGAGCATTCTGTCCCTGGCCTTTTTTCCACGTTTCATCAATAGATCGATGTACCAACCTAGCTTACACTCACAGGCATGATTTCTCGCAACACGCGTTATGTTACAAATGTTAGCAATCACAGCTGCAGTGGCAGCACGAGATGAGGATGCTGGAGGGGTGTGGCATGGAACAGATTGGGGCAGTGGTACAGGGTGGGGTGGTGAAACGGCAGTCTACAGTGGGTGCGATGGTACATGCATGCGGGCTTCCCCACATGGAATTTGAAATTGAAATCTGTTAGAGTTTCTCAAATCAAACATATTCATTTGTGGTGTTAAGCAGCAGGGCGGTTAGCAGTAGTGTTGGGCGCTACTTGGCGGTGGCGGCGATGGCGTCCTTGCTGTGCTCCGCTGACCCCTGCGCCGACAGAGGCGTCTGCCGCCGGGGGCCACTAGCAGGCTGTGTATCCTTGCTGTGAATCAACTCGGTGCCGCTGGTCAGCCGCCGCACCTTGATGCGATGCTGCCCGGCGGGGGAGGCGTCTTCGGCCTGCAGCATGGCAGGGTGGCGCATGGGGCGCCGCAAGGGAATAAGCCGCTACCCAGTGACTGGCCACCTCCCTCCCATGCCACGCATGCCAGCCTGCGATCGCCACATGCAACCCCTGCACGCAAGGGCGGCCCCATGGACCAGTGCGCCTGCTCACCCCGCTGGCGCCTGCCTCCCCCTCCTCCTGGCTGTCCCCCGTGTCCAGCGATCCAAAGGAGTGCCAGGTGGGCGAGCCCTTGAGCTGGCTGCCGGCGGCGGCCTCGCCGCCTGCGTGCCCTGCCTGGTAGGCGGGCTGGGCGGCGGGCTGTACCGCAGCCACGTGGCGGTACGCCTCCTCCAGTTGCCTCCACCGCTGCGCCACGCTGCCCGTCAGGCCCACGCTGAGGCGCACCAAGCCGGCGCCGATGCCTGCGGGGCAGGGCCGGGTGGTGGGGTGGTAGGGTGGTGCCAGGTCAGACAGGAGAGCCAACCCCAAGACGTTTGTGCAGGGCAAGCCCAACCAAGCACAGGAGAGGTGAGGCGAGGAGGCATCCATCAAATGCACTTGGCAACGCCAGCAGCGGCAGTCAAGCAGTGGACGCCAGCAGCAGCAGCAGCCACTGGGCCCACTCGGCCCCCGCCCACGCGCCTGCCCGAGCCAGCTCCTCCTCGCTCAGCTCGCTGCTGGTGCTGGCAGCGCTGGCAGACATGAGGGTGTCAAAGTAGCCCAGGGACACAGCCAGCAGGCCTGTGGCAGGGTGGGGAGGCAACACGGCGCCTGGTGCGTGAAGAGTGCGGTGGTGGTGGAAGTGCTGGACCCGCCAGCGTTTTTGCTGCAGCGGAAGGAAGCAGGTCGCAGCCGGCTGCGGGGCTGGCGGCTGGCCAGGCCCGCGGGCCTCACCAAAGCCGTGCAGGTTCTGCAGCCGCTCCATGAACCGCTTGGCGCCGTGCAGGCTGCCCAGCTCCAGCGTCAGCATGCCGCCGGCGCCGTACCCTGCGCCAGGGCAGGGGCTCGGCGAGGCAGGCGTTTGCCAGAGGGGCGTGTGGCGGGCTGGTGCAGGCCCAGGGCGTGCAGGCAGCGGCGCGCTGCCGGATCCGAGCTCGTGATGCACGACAGCAGAGCTTGGGAGCGGTGGGAAGGGAGTCCCCTGTGTGAGCTGCGGGCGGCGCGGGCGTGCCTGGGTTGGCCAGCCTCTTCATGAGCCCGTGCTGCGGGTGGGTGGGCAGGGCCGGGTACACCACCCTGGCACCCAGCGCCGCCAGCCGCTCTGCATAGTGCTGGGCACGGGCGCTGTGCTCCCTCATCCTCAGCGCCAGGTGCGGGATCCTCAGGGACAGCTCACTGGCGACCTTGGGGTCCATGGTGGGGCCTGCGACGAGGCAAAGAGCGGGAGGGGGCTTGCTTGGGTTTGGAGTTTATTATTCTATTTTATTGCCAATTAGTGCTCACATGCACCCGCTCAACCAAACCCACCCAGCAGCATGAGCGGCCCCATGCGCAGATCCATGAGGCTGTTGATGAAGTTGCCGTCGGCGGCACACACAGCGCCGGCGATGATGTCTGCACATGGGGTGAGGCAGGGACGTGGGCCGGATCACGGCGATGCGACAGGGAGCTCAACTGCAACGCGCCACAGTGGAGGCTTGCTGCAACAAAGCTGATCCCGCAGCAGCAGCAGCAGCAGGATGGCTGACAGCCATCCCAGCTTGCCTGATGCGCCCGAAATGAACTTGGTCAGGCTGTGCACCACCACATCCGCTCCCAGCCTGCACTCAAAGAGTCAAACCTACCAGTCGCCAGGTGGTGGCGGTCCGAGCAGCCGCCGCAGCGTCTGGACACTTCGTGCCCCGCCAGGCAACACCAGGCTGGCACAGCCACTCACCGCAGCGGCGACAGGATGACGGGGGTGAAGGTGTTGTCGACGACCAGCTTGAGGCGCGCGGCGTGCGCCAGCTCAGCCAGGCGCGGCACGTCGGCCAGCACCAGGGTGGGGTTGCTGAGGGACTCGGTGTAGAGCACGCGCGTCCTGCAGGGCGGCAGGGTGGCGGCAGGCGTGTGCAGGCGGCGGGCGTGGATCCAGTGTGGGGCAGAAAGAGCCGGGGAGTGCCACAACCGCATCATGCCGGTGGCTGCCTTGCCGCCGCGCCGCTGCTCAGCCACCACGCAACCACCCTCACTTGTCTGTGATGGCAGCTTGCACCGCCGCCAGGTCGGCAATATCCACAAAGGTGGTGCGGATGCCGCACTTGGCGGGCAGGAAGTCCTGAGGGCACGGGCAAGGTGGTGCGGGTGGGCTATGCGTCTGTACTGCGTGTGTGGACGGGCGAGGTCGCGTTTGCTGTGTTGTGCGCCAGGTGGACGTGCCTCACCTTGCAAAGGGCGAAGGTGCCGCCGTACACGGCATTGCTGCACACGATGTGGTCCCCGGAGTTGCACAAGGCCAGCAAGGTGGCGGAGATGGCGGCCATCCCGCTGGCGCAGCAGTAGGAGGCGGCGGCGCCTTCCAGCGCCGCCAGCTGGCGGCCCAGGTACCGCACGGTGGGGTTGAAGGAGCGTCCGTACCTGCAGAGGGAAGGGTGCTAAGCAGATGTCAGCAGAGTCCCAAGGCGGCGCAAGAGGTGAGCGAGCAGGGAGGACACCCGGGTGATCGCTTGGCGCTCACAGGTAGCAGCCGCCGCTCGGGCCCTTCTCTCCCGCAAAGATTTGGGGTAGCGTGTCGGCTTCCAGCACTGCACACAGGCCAGGGTTCCTTGTGATGGCCGCAAAAGCTGGGGAGAGCAGCAGGCAGCACTCTGTGCCAGCTAGAAGCGCCTGCGGTTGACTGCTGGCGCCCGTTGGTGTCGGTGCGCCGGCGCCGCCACCACTGCCAGCAGTTTCGGCAACGCACGCTCTCGGCATGCAGAGATTTGAAACGCTCGCCTGTGAAGGTTGTGGACACCTCAATGCCTGCAAGTAACACGTGTGCGGAGTGTCGGCAAAATGACAACCGCCCCGCCTGGCCCCGGGCCCTCGCAATACTCGCTGCAAGCATTCCGGGACTCACCCGCATTCACCCCGCCCCATTCTCCAAACTCCCTGCGACTGTCCGCAAGACGGGCCGCCGGGTCCTCCTCTTCCAGCGCGTGGTGCATGGTCAGGCTGTCGTTTGAATGCGACATGGTTGCAAAGAGGGTGCTTGCGAGTCCGCGAGCGCAGCTTTTGAATCTGGCGCTTGCTGGCGCCTCGCTGACAGGGCGCCATCTGGCTCTTGCTGACGCCGCCGCCGCCACGGGGCCTTGCATGGGCAGGGTGTGAGGACGAAAACGCCCCCTGCACCCCAATTTCCATCCTCAAAGTGCTCAACATACCTACCAAGTTCACCTTTAGGAGGGTGGCCAGTGGCGACGCCGTCGGCGTGGCACAATTGAACTTTCAAACCGACAGTGCTAGCCTTCGCACTCCTGCGCAGCCCTGGCTGGCCAGCAACTTCAAGCGAGAACTGGTTGCATGGTAAGACAGATGAGACTTGGAAACAATACTCAGCTAGGAAACAGCGCGAGAGAGGAAAACATTGAACAAGGCAGCTTGCATAACAAAGAGCGCACACATTGTTGCTGGCTAAGCCAAAGGAAAGTCGGGTCAGGTCAGGGTCAAGGGTTGGGTTCAACTAAATGCCACTGCGACAGCAGCGGAGGCGGCTGACGAGAGCGTCAGGGGCCGCTGCTAGTTTGCCAGTAATCAGTCAGCCGGCCAGTCACTCGGCGGCGGCGTCAGCACCTGGCAGTGCCCAATGTAGGCGGCCAGCGGCGGCATGCGCGCCTGCAGCTGCAGCAGCGCCGCCTGCAGCTGCTGGGCACCCGCCGCTGTCTCGCACTCCACTGCACAGCAGTACGGGGAGCAATGCGGGCCACTGAGCGGGCAGCCAGCCACCACACAGCCTACTGCACCATCGGTCGGTGGCTGATGAACCTCTCAGGCTGCCAACAGGCAGGACTGCATGCCTCCTGCCCCGCTACTGCGCCACCACCGCTTGCAGCTCGCCTGACAGGAAGGAGAAGGGCGGGCGGGGCGCCTTCAAGACGTCAGCCAGCGCGCGCGGCAACACGTTGGCGCTGCGCACGATGTGGCGGCGCAGCGGCTGCTGCGCCACCAGGCTGCACGATGGAGGGAAGGGCAGGCGGGGCGAGGCCAGCAGCTTTCGAGCTCCATGCAACCACCCAGCCGCTCCGTCCACCACCTCCACCTCCTGATCCCAACCAAATCCCACCTATCCCATGGTTGGGTGACGCAGGCATTGGTCCCGGCAGATCAGCCCCCCCCAAGCAGCAACAGCGCAGCAGGCCGGGGCGCCCCGCCTACCTGAGGTGCGCCCCACGCGCCCCCACCAGCTCCAGGTCAGCAACCGTGCTGCTCCACCGTACCGCAGGCACCCACATCGGCTCCCGCGCACAGATGTACAGCACGCACTGCGGCGGGGTGGCAGCGGGGTGGCGGCACGGTGTGTGATGGGCGAGGCGGCTGCCAAGCGCAGGCGCAAGCTGCCAACACAAACATGCCTCTGCCCATCGAACAACCCACACACAACAGTACAGCACCACCTCTACATGCTGACACCCCGCCCGCGCTTCCTGCGGCGCACACGCACACACACACACACACACACACAAACAAACCTTGGTTGTGAGCACCACGAAGCAGCTGCGCTCCGCCAGCGGCGTGCACAGCACAAAGGCGCCGTGGCGCGCGGGCGGCGCGGCCTGCTGCAGGCGCAGCGCGCCGCCGCCGCCGCGGGCGCCGGCCGCCGCGGCACGCTGCGCCTGCCGCGCCAGGCTGGCACGCTCAAGCTCTGTCAGCAGCCACCTCCCCATCGCCTCGGCCCAGCTGTAGGGCTCCAGGGGCTGGGTGGCATGCACGTACCTGCAGGCACATGGGGCAGGCAAGGTGGCGGGACACGACGGAGGCGAGCGGGCACGCTGCCCGTGCCTGTGGCGGTGGAGCGCTGAGCTGCGGCAGCACCCCATCCTCGCCTCGCCCACAACCTCAGGCAGGTGGCTGCCACGGTGCCACCAGCCCTGCACGCCCGCGCGCACCTGGGCGGGCGCACCCATCCCACGTTGCTGCTGCCCGCCACCGCGCGGCGGATGCTGTCTGCGGTGGAGGCCAGCATCTCGAGCAGTGAGGCCAGCGGCAGCACCACCACGCCGATTGCGCCGCGCGTGATGCCCGACAAAAGCCCCACCATGCCGTCTGCAGGGGTGGGGGTGGGTGGGCATGGTGGCAACATGTGGGCGAGGGGAGGGGAGGCAAGGGGAGGGGAGGAGGGGAGGGCAGAGGGCAGCAAGGAAGGAGGCAAGGGCAGCAGGGCCGGACACGAGCTGGCAGCCCGCACCCGCTCCCTCCCCCGTCACCCTTCCGGGGCTCACCCTCATCCAGGCCTCGGATGGGCTCCGCCGCCAGCCCCACCACACCCAGCAGCACCGCGCCCAGCACGCCGCCAGCCCCGCCGGGCTGAGGGCCGTCAAAGTCGCCGTCTCGCGGCGAGAAGATGACAGCCACCCCGCCGCCGTCGCCCGCCACCGAGCCGGCAGCCGGGCCGGCCTCGCCGGCCGCGCTCAGCGCGCCGGCGCCGGCGCCGCCGCCCCCCACGCCCGCCTGCTGCTCCCAGCGCAGGCGGCGGCGGGAGGGGCCGCCCGCCCAGGCGTCCTGGGGGTGCAGCCGGTCCAGGCCCAGAGCTGTGATGGCCTTGCGTGCCGCCGTGGAGCCCTTGGTGGCGGCATTGGACAGAGCAAACACCACATTCTGCAGCCAGGGGGGCGGTGCAACGCCTCGGCGGCAATGGCCAACACGCCATGGGGGCCTATGAGGCCAGCAAATTGAGGAACTGGTCATGACGTGCTGCTGCCTGCCTGCCTGCCTGCCTGCATGCCTGCCTGCCACCTCAAGCTGGCCGCGTGGCACCCACGCGGCAGAGCAGCCCAGCTCTCACCTGGAACAGGCCCCGCACGCCCGACCCCACGCCCGCGATGAACTGGCGCGGGCCGCGCTGCCTGGCGCTCTCCACCAGCCCTGCGCCCAAGCCAAGCAGCCACAGCCAGCAGGGCAGCTTGCAGCGTTGCTGGGTGCGCTGCTGAGGGGCAAGGGCTGGCGGCGCAGGGCTGCCGCAGGGCAACTGTATGATAGGTCAGCATGAAGGCATGCAGGGGGGCCACCCAGCTGCCACCCATCTGCTGCAGCCGCGCGGCGCTTGCCCCTGCGGATGCGGCCGCGGCTGCGCGGAGCAGCAGGCTGGCGCGGCTCACCTGCTGCGGGGGAGGCCAGGAAGGACCAGACCCCCAGGCCCAGGTGGTGGAAGAGGCGGACTGGGTCGCCAAACACGCTGGCGCTGCCCACAACCTTGTACAGCTCGGGCAGCAGGGCGCGGGTGTAGTGGCGCTGCAAGAAGGGAGCAGCGGACGGGGGATGGGGGGCGAGTGGGACGGGGGAGGCGGGCCAGTGAGGCCGGGCTGCGGGTGTCCGGCAGGGCGGGAGGGTGCACACGCAGGCAGGCCTGTGCCAAGCAGGCGACCGGTCCCGGCACCCGGCCCCTGCATGGCGAGGCGGGGAGGCCCTGACGGCATGCCCCCACGTGCCTGCAGCAGCTGCGCCAGCGCCGAGGTGCCCATCAGAGGGTTGCGCAGCTCGAGGGCGGCCAGGCGCAGCCGCGCGTCCTCCACGTCGGCCAGGGACAGCATGCGCTGCAGGGCCAGCAGGCGGGGGTGGCCTGCAGGGCGGGGCGCAGGGTGGGGAGGCCAGAGGGATGGGTCAGGCGGGTGTGAGCGCAGCGGTGGCAGGTGGCGGCGGGGGTGGTGGTGGAGGGCAGGATGGTGGCCGGCTGATGGAGCCCCTCGCTGAGTTTGGGGGAGGGAGAGGGCTGGCCAGGCAGGGCGCGCCTGGGTCGGGCTGGAAGGGAGCTGGCAGGAAGGTGATGGAGAGCTCCAGGGTAGCTATGCGCAGTACATCGATGTACACCTTCTGCTCGGCTGGAGCCAGCAGGGCCGCGCCGCGCCCGCTCAGCAGCGCCTGCACAGCAGGGGGCGAGGTGTGCGTGTGTATGTGGTGGTGGTGAGGTGCGACCAGCAGCGCACACGGGTGCGGCAACAGGTGCAGAGGCGCCGTGGATTGGTGATGCTTGCACCCCTGCCATCGCCCTCCTCCCCCTGCCACCACGCAACCAGCAGACCAGCCCACCTCCAGCTCGGGGCTCAGCTGCGGCAGCCGGGCCGCCGCAGACGCCACCGCCCCCAGGCCTGCGCTGGCCGGCAGGAGGAAGGCGGGGGGCGCATCCGGCCCCGCCACGCCGCCCTCGTCGCCGCCGCCGCCGCCGCTGCCACCGCTGCCGGACCTGTGTCCGGCGCCGGCGCCGGCGCCGCGGGCCGCGGCCGAGGCTGCCGCGGCAGCGGCCGCCTCCAGCCCAGCCACCGTGCCCGCCACAAACTCCGCCAGCTGCAGGGCATGCTGCTGCTCCACATACACAGCCACAGGCGCCAGCTGCAGGTCCGCCTGCTCGATGCACAGCACGCCCGCGGGGCGGCGCTGCCACAGCGCCAGGCGCGCCACCAGGGCGGGCCTGCGCTGCACATCCACGGCCGCCGCCACCGTGGATGTCAGCCTGCTGATGGGGGCTGGAATCTGCAGGGTGACGGGCAGGGCCACCCAGGGGCTGGGATTGTCCAGCTGCGAGGCGCAGGGGCGCAGGGGCAGGGCAGGAGAGCAAGAGTCAGGCCGGAAATGCGGTACAGAAGCGGGACCCCAAGCGCCGCCGCCGCGAGGCGATGCCCCGAGCCGGCAGCACGCCCCGAGGTGCCACTTCCTCAGGCCCCTACCCATCCCACCCACCCCACCCATTCCACCCACCTGCAGGCGCCGCAGCTCCAGGTCCAGCACCAAATGGGCAGCTGTGCCCGCCATCGTGGCGCGCAGCCCGCCCGCTTGCAGGTAAGCCATCTCCCGGCTGGGGGCCACCAGGGACACGCCCAGGGAGGCCAGCTCGGCACACACCTCCCACAGCAGGCCTGCGGCGGAGGAAGCAGGGAGCCGGCGTCGGGGTCAGCGGTGTGTGTGGGCACCGCTGAAGGCGGGGAGGGTGGCGCACATTTCGCAGCCGACCAGGTGCATGCCAGCAGGCCTGGGCCCAGCAGGTGATGGGGAGGAGAGGCGCCGTCAGCACGGCCCCAGGGGGCCGCCTGCTGCATTGCCACATAAGCAGTGAGCTGCGGGTTTGCTCACCAGACACCTTGGCGCCCTTTTTGCCCTGCTGCTGCGCGCCGCCCAGCGTGGGCAGAGACCAGGCGTCCCAGGGGCCACGCGGCGGCCAGCTGGGGCGCCGCGCGCTGCCGCCCTCCCCCTCGGCGCCGCCGGCCGCGCCAGCCGCCGTCATCTCCTCCAGCAGGCTGCGGCAGGAGGGAAGAGGGCGCTCAATTGGTTGCAACAAGTGCAGAGAAAAAAGGGGAGAGCCTCAGCCGCCCGTTGATCTTTGCCTTGCCAGAAACCATGCCCTTCCCAACTCTATCTGCGCCAGCCAGTGCTCCAACCCTCGCCCACCGCCCACCCGCCCACCTGTGCCGCTGCGTGTCCAGCACGGTGAGCACGCGGGTAGGCCCCTCTGTGCGCACCAGCACCCGCACCCGCCGCTGCGGCTCGCCGCGCTTGGTCGGTACCGCCAGCACCACATCCTGGCCCACCTGCACCGCGCCGGGCCGGCCACCGCCGGCGATGATGGGTGGGGAGGGAAAACAAATGTGAGGGGCCGAGGAGGCCGCGCGTGCAGCGCGCCCGTGGTGCTGCCCTCAGCTGCCTCGGCAGAAACAACGGTATCAACGGTAACGTCAGTACATTATCAGCAGTACCAGTACCTTGTCCAGGTCGAATGTGCCCAGGGTGCGCGCCCCCGGCAGCTCCAGCACCAGCCGGTGCGGCAGGCTGGGCTCGTCCCAGGCGTAGGTGAGCGAGCAGTAGGGGCGCAGCACATCCTGCTGCTCCCGCACCCTGCGGGGAAGGGCGCCGCACATACACACTTAGTGAATGGGGGGTCGTCGGAAGGGAGGCGGGAGTGCAATAAATGCATGTGAGCGTGACAGCGGAGCCGGGAGCTGAGGAGGCGGCGTTGAGCCCACACCCCGCAACACACCCAGGCGTCCACCCCTCCCTGCCACGCCACGCCACGCCACGACCGTGCTCACTTGTGCTGCCGCGCATGCAGCGTCTCCAGCGAGCAGTTCTCGATGCGGTAGGGCGCGAAGCCGGCGGGGTGGTGGCTGAGCGTGACGCGCAGCACGCCCGAGGCGGCGCTTGCGGCCAAGTCCACCCGCACCAGCATCGTCACGCCGCGGTCGCGGTGCCTGCATGGACAGCGGCAGCAGGCCGGGACTCAACTGTTGGCAGGAGTGGCAGCATCTCGGGAGGCCGGCCATGGGGCTGCTTGCGTGCTGGCTCGGCGTGCCTTCCTGCCCACTAACACACACACACACACGCACACAACCACACACACACACACACGCAAACAACCACACACAACCCACCTGATCTTGATGAACATGTCACCCGGAGAGTCCAGCTCAAAGCCGCCACTCCACAGCCACCCCGCCTCCTGCACCCGCACGCACAGGCGCAGCGGGCGCAGCGCGTCCGACCAGCGCAGTGAGCGCGAGGCGCCAGCCCCAAGCTCCCGCTCATGGAGCGTTCCCTGCTCGCAAGGGGTGGGGGTGGAGGGCGTGTGCACACATGTGCAATAAATGGGGAGGCAATCTGAATACCTTGGCTGGTCCTTTGGCGCTGTGGCGCGTGCATGGCAGCAGAAACACAACTTAAAAAACGGAAACCACAGCAGCGTGTCTGAGTCTGGCGCTGGCACATGACAAGCCACACCGCAGACCAGCGGCATGGCACGGCGGCACCGCCCACCTGCTGCTTGTACTGGATGGGCACGTCCAGCGTGTTGATGAGCAGGTAGCGCGGCAGCAGGTACAGCGCCAGAGCGCCCTGGCTGCCGGGAACCTGGCTGGCAGTCACTGCAGGGCGGGCGGGCGCGGAGGCGGCGAATCAGCGGGGCGGCGCAGCAAGCTGCGTGCATCCATGCAAGGCTCCAGCGGCAGCCGCGGTACCGTGCTGCACCAGCCTGCGCGGACACCAAGCAGTCCCAGCCACCCTCCACCTGCGCAGACACGGCGCGCGCAGCGCAGCACAGCACAGCACAGCACAGCGCAGCGCAGCACACCCACCCGACATCATGTATGCGGCACGGGCGGCGGGGATGGAGGCTGTGGGGGGCAGGAGCGGGGAGGGCACGGTGACCACCGCCGCGCCGCCCAGCCCATCCAACTCCACCGGATCCGACCAGTAGGTGCGCCCAGCGGGCGCCTGGCACTGCAGGAGCAGCAGGGCGGGCGGGGAGCAGAGCGGGGACATGTGGCAAGACCTTTGGGGGGGAGCGGGAGGGCATGGGACGTGGGAAGCGGCTTGCGGGATGTTCCCGGCACCACGAGTGGCGCACGCAGCAGACAGGCAGGCAGGGCGGTGCGGGGCGGGCAGGGCGCACCTGCGTGGCCCGGATCTGCAGGCGCAGGCGGTGGCGGTGAGGCTGCAGGCCGCCCTGGATGCTGGGCCACCTGCGCAGCGGGCAGGAGGGGCGCAGGAGCAGGGGGCGACGTCACATACGTCTGGCGGCCAGAGCCGGGGCCACCTCCTGCTGCCCCTCCCGCCACCTCTCCCACAGACGTTCAGCCTGCCGCGCCTGCAACTACGCTGTTCGGGCAGAGCAGAGCGGGGAGGTCCAGCCCGGCAGCAGCCCATCCCGACCCGCATGGCGCCTGGGGCTTGCCTGGAGGGCGTCTCAAAGGCGGGCGTTGCCTCCATGCTGTCTGCGATGCCCCTGGCCCGCGACACCGTGCGCTTCAGGCCCAGCACCTGGCGGGAGTCGCCTGAGCGGGAGGCGGTGCCGGCGCCGGCGCTGCCGCCGCCCTCCAGAATCTCAGACAGGCCCGCGATGTCTGTGGCGGAGGCGCCGCGGCTGGCGTTGATGACTGCAGGGGCGACGGGAAAAGGGAGGAGGGAGGCAGGGGAGGCTGTATGGAAGCAGGCGTGGCGAGTGGAGCACCGGACGCAGCGCAAAGGTTTCTTAAGGGCGGGCGGCATAGGGCCAAGCGCTCACCAGAAGGGGCTGTGCTGGTTGGTGTGCTGAGTGCGCTTTGTATGCCCTCCCGTGACACAGCGCGCAGCCCCGCCGTTGGCAGCGTCCGCTGCTGCAGCGGCGACTGGCTGGCGCTCTTGGTCCCCGCCCCGCCCTGGCCCGGACCCTGGCCGGGCAGCTCCAGCGGTGGCAGCCACGACTCAGGCACCTGCGGGGGGCAGGGGCAAACCGGTTGCAACTGTCGGCCAAGGCTGACCCTAGCGGCAGACATCACACCCTTTGATTTCACCATGATGAACCAAACACACACACACACACTTCACAGAGCCCCTCGCCACCACCCCAGCCCAGGCCAGTCACTCACCCCCCACCCCCACCCACCCCAGCCCCTCACCTCATCCTCCACCAGCCGCTGGTAGGTGGCGTCGCTGCGCTCCCCAAACAGCAGCGCGCCGTCGGCCCCGCTCTGGCGCAGCGACACCGGCACCCCGGTGCAGTTGAACACCCACAGCGTGCAGCCCAGCAGCAGCTTGTGGGAGCCGGTGGCCGTGTCCAGGGAGTGGCGCACAAACACTTGCACCTCAGACTTACTGTGCCCCACCTCCTGCGGGCACACGAGGGGCGGCAGGGCGAGGAGGCGGGCACAGCTCAGGCTGCAGGCCAGCCAGGTTGGTGCCACACTGGCGGGATGCACGGCAGGTGCGCCACAACCCTTGCGGGCGCATGAATCGCCTGTGGCAGCAGGGCGACAGGCGAGGCGTCCTGCACACGTTGCGGCCACTTGCCTGCAGCAGGACCTCCGTGTCAGGTGCCAGCAGCTCCCTTCCGCCGGTACCGCCTGGCCCCGCGCCCGACAGGCCAAAAGCGCCACCGCCGCTGCCGGCATCGCCGCCGCCGGCTGCCATGGCGGAGAGGGGTGCGGGGGTGATGGGGGACGAGGGGTGGTAGCCCAGCGCGCGCAGCGTGAGGCTCTCAACATGCGCAGCGTCCACAGCGTGCAGAGCGGCGTGCTGGTTGGGCTGCAGGTGCAGGCGGTGCCCCTGGCCCCACGCCGACAGGGACACATCCAGCGGCACCGGCAGCGCGTTGTGTAGCGTCAGCGGTGCGGACAGAAGCACCTCCCAGCTGCCAAAGCCGGCAGACGCCAGTGCCGCCGCTGCTGCTGACCCATTGGCGGCGGTGGCGGTGGTGCTGCTGCCGGTGCTGCCACTCAGCCGTGTAGCGCCCATGCACAGCAGCACCGGCGGCTGGTGCTCCGCGGTCGACATGCAGGCCAGCTGGCGGGCGGCCCTGCTGCGCCCTTCCAGCGTGCCGCCGCCACGGCCGCCGCCGCCGCCGGCTCCTCCCTCTGCTCCCGCTGCCTGGCGCAGCAGCGACTGCAGCGGCACCGCGGCGCTCCACTCGTATGGATGCCAGGGAGCAGCAACTGGTGGCGCTCGCTGGCCTGCCGACTGCGGCCCCTGCCTCCCCGCATCCACATGCTCACTGCTGTGGCGGGCCGGCGAGGCCAGCCCAGCCGTGGAGTAGAGCAGCGGGCTGGAGGGAAGGCGCTGCGCCGGCAGCAGGCCCGCTGGCGGCGGCGCTGCTGCGCCGGCGGCGACCGGCTGGTTGCCCGCGACCAATGCCGCTGCCGCAGCCAGGCTGTCTGATGCCAGCGCCGGTATCCTGCTGCCAAGCGCCACGGTAGTGTCGCCGGGCTGCCAGGTGGCCGCCGTCTGCAGCGCGGCGGCTGCCGGCAGCGGCGGCCGCTGCGGCGGCGGCTGCTGCTGCGCCTGCGGCGGCTGAGCTGCGGTGCCCGGTCCCACGGCGGGGCGCAGGCACAGCAGGCCGGTGTGCGCGCGCAGCGCGGGCAGCCACATGGCGCCACCCGGGCGCAGCGTGCCCAGCGCCTGAGGCTCCATCACCAGCCCCATGGGCGTCTGCACCCCGATGTCGAGCGCCAGCAGCGTGGTGTTGCGCAGCTGCGGCAGGAGCAGCACAGGGCCACAGACACACAAGCGCGTGAGCAACACATGGCAAGGCAGCTGCCTTGTGCCCCTGCAAACAACCCAATAGCTAGACCCAGCCACCTCAACCTTCTAGCAGCGCCAGCCTGCGGCAGCCTTCCTCACCAGCACCCCGGAGTGAAGCGTGAGTGTGTAGCCGCCGTGCCGCGCCGCCACCATGTCACACAGCACCCCTGGGCAGGCGGTGGCGCAGCCCTCGCAGCCGCTGAAGCAGCCGCGGTCGAGGTGGAGCGGGCCGCACACCTCCTGCTGCTCCGCCAGCCGGAAGTAGAGGAGGGGGCGGGACTGGCGGGGCGCCATGCCGCCGCCGCCCAGGGCACCGAAGCTGGGCGCGCGGCGGGGCGTGCCGGGCGCCGCGCCCAGACCCGCAAGCCCCAGCCGGCTGCTGCTGTGGTGGAGGTCGGCGCAGAAGCTGGCGCGCGGCCGGGCCACGCCCTGGACGGGGCAGGGAGCGCCGACGTGCACGCCCTGATGCTGTGCGGCGCCGCTGCCTCCAGCCGCCACCACTGGCAGCACCGCTCTCGCTCCTGGCCTGACCACGAGCTCGGGGAGGCCGGAGGGCACCCGCGACGCCCGCCTGCTCCCGCCCGCCGCCGCTGCCGTGCTGTCCCCCGCGCTGCCGCTGTCAAAGGAAGAGGAGGTGCTGCCGCCGGGGCAGGCGCCTCCCAGGCTGCTGCCGTCGCCGTCGTCCGCCGCCAGCCACAGCTCCAGCGCGCTGCCGGTCTCGTTGTGCAGCCAGAAGGCGGCGCTGTGTGCGGCGCTGCCGCAGGCCGCCTCCAGCCGCTCTCCCAGGGCTGATGGGTCTGCCGCCACTGCTGCCGCAGCCTGCACCACGCCTCCTGCCATCACAGCCGCCTCCAGGGCCGCCTGCGTGACCGTCACCTCCAGCCCGTGGGTGGAGGAGAGGGTCAGGCGCTGGTGCTGGGTGGGCGGCGGAGGCGAGGAGGTGGGGGCCGCGAACTGGAGCCTGCAGGCCATGGCCGCCCAGGGAGGCGTGGAAAACCAGGAGCGGCTGAGGCATGAGGTACAAGAAGGAAGCTCCGGCCAACAGATGCCAGCCCGATGCTCGCAATCAGGCACAGCGCTGGACTGCTGCCAGGCAGCAGCCCTCTGCCAGGCCCCCCACCAGCTGGCTCCCCCGCCTGCCTGCCCGCCTGCCAGCTCACCTGCAGTGCCACGGCTCCACCAGCGGCTCCCACCCCGCCTTCACCGCGCTGAACGCCGCCACCTGCACTTCGCTCTTCACCGTGCCCTCCAGGCTGCCCTGCCCCATGTCGTGAACGTCGGCTGCACAGGGAGGGCAAGCCAGGTTGAGCGAGGCAGGCTGGGAACGATCGTCAGGTATACGTGCAGGAAGTGAAAACAGGCAGGCAGGCCAGCCAGGACCAAGGCGTGCATACAGCAGGCGGAAAACAGCAGGCGCAGGCACCATTAGGTTGCACAGCCGATGCTGCTGCGGGGCCTGGGAGCGGGCCGCACCTGTGATGGCGGCCGCCGCCAGCTCCAACAGCGGCGCCGGCTCCGCCAGCAGACGGTGCTGTCCCGCAGGCCCCGCCTCTGCCACATCCTCCCGGCTCAGCAGGCTCAGCAGCAGCGCCGCCTTCTGCACATTCAGCTTCAGGGTGAGCTGGCGGGGCAGGGCGCCCGCTGAGCCCGCTGGGCCCGCTGCGCTGCCGCCCTGCACATCGCGAAGACGACAGCAAGTCAACCCAACGGCGCGCAAGCTGAGGGCTGCCCTTGCACCATGCATTGCCGAGCGCCACCAGGGAACGCACGACTGCCAGCCATCCGCTCACCCTGTCGCCAGCAACCTCAAACTCGCCGCCGCCCAGGCTGCCCGCCAGCCCCTCTGCCAGAGCGCGGGCGTGCCCAGCCAGCGCTGCCGCCGCACACAAGTTGCGGGGGTGGGCCCACAGCGAGGCGTGCGCCAGGCTGGCTCCAACGGACACCTGGTGGGCGGGGCCCAGCAGCACGCTGCCGTCGGCGGTGGTAGCAGCCGGCTGCAGCTGGCGCTGCTGCTGCTGGGACACGAGGCTGAGCTCCAGCCGGTGCAGGCCCAGCAACGAGTCCTGAAGCGGCAGCGCCAGGGCGGGGGGCAGGCCGGACGAGCCGCCGCCACCATCCCCGGCTGCCACCGAGTCCGGCACCACCCCAACCGCCAGCAGCAGGCCGGGGACCAGCAGCTTGAGCTGGCTGCTGCCCTCGGCGCCCTGGCTGGCCTCCACTCGCAGCTGGGCCTGCAGGGTGCAGGCAGGCAGCAGGCCCTGGCCGGAACCAAGGCTGCCGCTGCCGCTGCCGGCACCGCCCTGCGGCGCCGCCTCCTGCTGCTCGGCATCGGCCAACAGCTCGACCAGCAGCGCCCGCAGGTGCAGCCGCAGCGCCAGGCCCTGCCGCTGCACCTGCTCCTCCTGCTCTGTCGGCGACTGCTTGGCGGCGCCGCTGGTTGGCGCCGGCAGCAGTCGCCGATGGCCCAGCGGGCTGGCTGCCCGCGCCTCGGCGGAGGCGGTGTACTGCCTCTGCGCTTCCTGCGCCAGCACGGCATACGTGTGCAGGCACTGTGCGGCATCCTCCCAGCCAGCCGCATGCACACGCAGCGCCATCGAATCAATCTCCACAACCGCCTGCCCCAGCCGCTCCGCCAGCTGCACTGCCACAACCGTGCCGATGGCGGCGCCTCCGCTGCCGCTCAGCCGCTTGCTGCTGGAGCCCAGCCCGTTGGCTGCTCCTTCCCCTGCCACCCCGGCGGCAGTGCTGCTGACGCTGGCAGTCAGGCTGGCAGCATCCGCAGCGGCGTCTGTCGGTGCGGTTTGGCCATGCAGCAGCAGGAGCAGGCGGCAGCTGTAGTCTTCACTGCCCAGCACCAGCGGCAGCGGCAGGGAAAGAGGGCTGTGGCCCAACGTGGGCGACTGGGAGCCTGCACAGCCAGCAGCAATGGGTGCGCGGGGGCAAGCACCACGCATGGAGGTGAGTCCAAAGCCAGGGGGCAGGGTAGGGGTAACAGGCTCCCTGACACAGCTCAGCAACCCAACATGTGGCAGCCATCCACCTGCCCGCCCATCCCAGCAGCCCTCTGCCCTCCCTGCACCCAAGCACCTGGCTCCAGCTCCGAGGCCGCATCCTCAAACTCCGACTCTGCGAGGCTGAGGTAGCGGCTGGAGCCGTAGCTGGTGCGGGCCAGCTGGGCAGTGGCATCGTGGAACTCGTCCACAGACTCTGCGCAGGGTGGGGAGCAGCAGGGAATGGAGGGAATGGGGCACAGGAGGAGTGGGGTATGCAAGTGATGCAGATACAAGAGAGGTCAGCAGAGGGCAGGAGCCGGTCCAGACGCGATCACGAGGCTGTGTGCACGGGCAGAGCGGAGCAGCTGGAAGGGCCCGGCGCCTCACCTGCCAGCCCCAGGCCAGAGGACAGGTTGCGCCGCACGCCGCCCAAGGGCGCACCAATGCTGCTGAGTGGGCCCCTGCCTCGCTGGTAGAACACCTCCGCCCCGGGAGCCGCCGCTAAGGGCATGAACACGCGCGGGGAGGCGGCCTGCGGGCTGCCAGCGCCCAGCCCGCCGCGCTGGCTGCTGCAGGGCAGGAGACGAGGCAATCGGATGCAGCTGGTGAGTATCGCCAGCCAGCTGGGAGCTTTCAGGCAGGCGCCCAACACAGCGGAGCGAAGTAGCACAGAGAGAGCAGCCAGCGTGCCAGCCGTCTTGCCTGTCTCTGCGGAACGCGTCCCCAACGACCGTCGAGGCAAAGGCGAAAGGTGTGAGGCCCGGGTGGGTGTAGGACAGGCGGGGGTGCAGCACGTGCACAGCCAGCTGGCGCCAGCCGAGCTGAGCGTCGAGCGCCTGCTCCTGGCGAGCGCCCTCGCTGGCGGCCCCGCTGCCAGGGCTGCCGCTGCCGCCGCCGGGGCTGCCTCCAGGCCAACCAGGCGACTCCTGCTGCCCAGTGGAGCTGCCTGCTGGGGGGGAGGACGGCCCACCGCCATTTGCAAGGCTGCCGCCAGCTGAGCAGGCTGCCCAAAGGCCCTGCCACTCTAGTTTTAGGCAGCTGCTGCTGGGCGTTGCGCCCAGCAGGCTGAACCCAACACAGCCAACAGCCGCCTCCAGGCGCCACTGCGGGCTGGGAGCCGCTGCCTGGTGCGAGCCGCCGCCTGCTGCTGCAGCGCGCTGTGCCTCTGCCGCCGGCCCTATGCCCGCCTCTTGTTGACCCGATGCTGCGGCTTCTGCAGCAGCAGCAGCAGCCGCAGGTGTAGCCCCTGTAAGTCCGCCGCCCGCCGCTGCTGGCGCCCGCCGTGGCAACGACGGCATGTGTGCAAGCCGCTGCGGCGGCGCCGGCTGCTGCTGCTGCTCCGTGCCAGAAGTGGAAGTGATGACGCTTTCGGTGTCACCAGCAGAGCCGTCGGCAGCCTCCCTGCCCAGCACTGCCAGCTCATGCTGACACAGCTGCACCGCTGAAGTCAGCATGCTGAGCTGGCTCGGGTGCAGCCCAACGTCTATTGCCGCCACATCCACTCGATACAACAGCGCCACTGCCGCTGGCGTCGAGTGCGCTGCCTGCGAGGGCGGCCTCCCGCTTGAGGGCGTCACCGGGCTGCTCCCGCTGCTGCTGTGCCGCAGCCGCTGCTGGCTGCTGCTGGCCCGCCAACGCCTGCCTGCGCTGCTGCTGCTGCTGCCGCCTGCCTGTGGCGCGGCGCCGCCGCCAGCGGTGCATGCCACACGCAGGCTGGGCACCTGTAGCAGTGGCAGCATGGCATGGCGCGCATAGCCAACTGCTGCCACCGACACCGTCAGCTTGCCTGCTTCTAAAAGAACCTGCTCCTTCTGCTGCGGCCGCCGTCGCCGCTTCTGGCACGCCGGCTCGGCGCCGCCCGTTGCAGCTGCAGCAGCAGCCCACGGCACATCTCCCCAGCTCACGCTGCTGCCCGCGACAGTCTGTGGGCTGGCATCCCCGCTGCTGGTGCTAGCTGCCGCCGCGGACTCATCGCTGTCGCCAGCCTGTGACAGAGCGCCGAACGAAGGCGGCCCTGTCGGTGCCCACTCCTCTTCTGCAACTGCAGCTGCTGCCAGCCCGGCTGGGTCCAGAGGCATCTGGAGGTGCAGCAGCGGCACATCCACAGCCAGCAGGTCATGGTGCACTGAAAGAAAGTCGTGCGTGGCTGGAGGGATGCCGGCGCCGCCCAGGCCGGCCGCGCCGCCGCCTCTGTGGCCGCTGCCGCCGGCACCGCCCCCGGGGTGCAGGGCGGGCTGGTAACGCAGAACCAGGCGGCAGTCGGTCAGCTGGATGCTGGTGAGAAGCTGCTTGGCAGGAGCTTGCGGCGGCGATTGCGATGGCCGCGTCGACATTGCTGCTGCGCCCTGCCGCTGCTCTGCGCCAGCCGGTGGAGACACGAGCTGTGATGCCTCAGCTTGGGCGATCGCCGCAGCTGCCAGCTGCTGCTCGTCAGCATGGATGCTGCCTTGTGAGCTGCTGGCTCCTAGCTGGAAGTCCTCCAGCGCAGTTGCCCACTGCTCAAGAGAGCTGGGCTCTGGCAGCAGAGGAGGGCCTGCTCTCGCTGCTGCTGCTGCTGCTGCTGCTGCTGCTGCTTCTGAAGGCACTGCTGCCGGCGGCGCTTGAAGCCCATCCTCCTGTCGTGCTGCCGATGCCACCTGCTCCTGCTGCTGCTGCTGCTGCTGCTGCTGCTGTGCTGGGCTGCCGGCACCGTCCGACGCCGCTCCTGAGCCTGCAGCCAGCACTTCCGATGCTACCAGCTGCTGCTGCTGTTGCTCCTGGACGAGCGCCTCTCCCAGCGCAGCCAGCCGCAGCAGCAGCCCGTGGCCAATGAGCAGGTTGCTGGCGCTGACGGCGGTGCGGGTGGCGGCGGGACCGTCGTGCACCGTGACCCTGACCTGAGTGGCCTGCCGCTCGTGCAGCCTGCAGCCAGACAGTGGGCAGGGTGCTGTTTGCAGGTGCTCAGCACAGCAGCAAGCGCCTTTTCCCAGACGCCAGCACTTCCAGGGAAGATGCACAAACGTGCGTGCGTGGCGGCCACCTTGGCAATGCCAAGGGGATTCATAGAACGACATCAGTCGAGCTACAGATGTCAGAAGCCTGTGCTCACCTGGACAAGAAGCTGCCCGCCTCTCCAGCATACCCCTCAACTGTTAGGTCTTGCAGCTCGATGCGCGTCTCGCTGTGGGGGCCTCCACTGCGGACCCCGCCGCCGCCGCCGCTGAAGCTGGCGGTGTGTGAGACGGAGAGCCGGTCGATTGCCAGGAGGCGCGCGACGCGCGGCACGGGCGTGCCCCGCACCGGCGGCGGCAGCTGCGGCTGTGGCGTGTTGGGAGACAGGTCGTGGAGGAGCAGGCGGGAGGCGGACAGCTGCAGGGCAGGCAGATATGCCACAAGGGGGGGGGGGGGGTCAGATGGCTGGTGGAGAAAGAGGCACGCACATTTGGGGGTTGGCATTCGGTGTGGATCACAGCTCCGATGCCCTCCTAAAGCAGGGCGCCCCTGACACACAACCCTGCCCACGCTGCTCCACAGCCCTCGCACCTTGACAGCCAGGCCATCCAGCATGCTGTGCACGCTGAGGCTGGCCCCGGCGCATGCCACGCGTGCCTCCAGCGCCGCCACCGCCGCGCCTGCCGGCCCCGCTCCGCCGCTGCCGGGCCCAAGGCCGTCAGCAACGCAGCGCAAGTCCAAGAAAGCCAGCTGCAAGTCCAGAGCCAGCACTGGCACAGCAGGGCCACCAGCGGAGGGGGCAATGCCATCCAGCGGGCTGCCGCCAGTCGGAGACGCATCTGTCCCGCCAGGTGCACTGGCACTGCCAGGAGTGGTGGAGGCGCTCGCTGGCTGCGCATCCAGCGGGGCACTGGGGAGTGGTGGTGCTGCTGCTGCTGGGGCCGCTTGTGTCTGTGCCAGTGGCTGCTGCGCTGCTGCAGGCAGCGTCAGCGCATCGACCAGCAGCTGGACGACGGTGTGTGTGAGTGAGAGGGAGATGGGGTCAACCTGGAGGGCACACTGCACCTGAGGCAGCCCATAGTCCTGCGGGGAGGGAGACAAGGCCCGCCGGAACACCAGGCAGGTGAGAAGAGCCAGCACAAGGTGCTGAGCTCTGAACAACAAGCTTGGGCAAAGGGCACAGCAGCACCACACCAAGCAGGCAGCTAAGCCGGCCAGCTTACCTCTGCAATGCGATGAATCTTGAGCAGGCCCGCCAGGCGCAGCGGCTGCAGCACGGGCTGCCACTGCCTGCCAAAGCCGCCGCCATCAGCGCCGCCGCTGGGGCCGCCGGGCAGGCCGGGACTGGCACTCCTGCGGCCGCCGCCATCGCTGCCGCTTCCACCGCCGCTGCCGCTGCCACCGCTGCTTCTGCTGGGTAAGGTAACTGCCGCTGCCTGCAGGTCTGCTACTATTACCTCAAACTGCTGGTACAGCAGTCGCTGCTCCACCGCTGCCACCGCCGCTGCAGCATCCAGGCTGCTGCCGCTGGGACCGGCCCCAGGACTGGTGCCCACCACAGCAGCTGCCGCACCGCCCAGCCGCGCCGCCACCCGCCGCTGCTTGATCACAGCAGACAGGTGGGCCGCCGCCTCGGCAGCCGTCAGGGCGTGGTTGGGGGTCAGCTGGCGCTGCAGGCTCCGATGCGGCGGCCGGGCGGGGCTGGCCCCCTGCCCAGCCTGCTGCTGCTGCCGCTGTGCCGCCTGCTGCTGGGCGTCAATAGAATGCAGGGTGATGGGCCCCGTGCGCAGCGACACGCCTGGGGAGGCACAGTACTCACCCCCGCCCACCCACACCTCCACATCCAGCACCTGCAAGCGAGCCCATGGGGAAGCAGTGGATAAAAGGCACAGAGCTTGCGACGGCGGCAGCATGGCCAGCAAGCGTCCTCTTGGTCAGCCATCCAGCATGCAGCACGGGCTTCCAGCACCCAGGCTTCAGACAGCCTTGGGTTGTTGACATCTCCAGCGCTGAGCCTGCCCACCAAAGCCACACCCACCAAAGCCACACCCACCAAAGCCTGCCCACCAAAGCCACACCCACCAAAGCCACACCCACCAAAGCCTGCCCACCCAAGCCACACCCACCTTGACGAGCAGGTCCAGCGGCGGCCCCATCCGCGCCACCTCGCACGCCTTGATGGCACACCGCGCCTCGGCACCCAGCGCATTCAGCGCCGCAAGCTGGAGGCCGTGGAAGCTGGCCTGCAGGCGGGGCAGCACGGCGGCGGCAAAGGTGCTTGAGTGCAGCGCATGGAGTGATGCTACCGCATGGAAAACACCAGGCGACAGTGGCATGCCACCGAACAAATGACTTTGCTCGCTCTCCTCTCCACACCCTGCCCAAACAGCACACACCAGCAACATACACCGACAGCCACCCATTCCCACACGCACCGGAAGCGCCGGGGGCACGAGCGCCGCCAGCCGCTGCACGCACCGCGGCCGCAGCAGCAGCAGCAGCGGCTGCACCAGAATGTCCAGCTGGGGACGTCGCTCCTGGGGCAGCGGCTGGCCTGCCTCGCCTGCCGCCGCCGAGGGCGACGCTCCCGAGAAGGAGAGGCGCAGCAGCGGCGGGTGGCTGCTGCCGGGCGGGCTGGTAGTGCAGTTGGCGGCTGTGCTGCCGCGGGACAGCAGCCGGGATGATATGCCTGGGCCCTCGGAGCAGAGGTCATGCGCGGCCAGCCCAGCCAGCGACAGGCTGGCAGTGGCCTGGTCTGGCCGGAGCTGCGCCCCCAAGCGCAGCCGCTCTAGCTCTAGCGTGGCAATGGCACTGCCCCCTGGCCCGCGGCCAAGCTCGCTCGCTTGGCCGCCATGGGCCTGCTCGTTAGGCTGCTGCTGCTGTCCCTGGTCCTGCTGCTGCTGCTCTTGGGAGGATTCCGATGCCGCATGTGACGCAGGCGTTCCTGCCGCACCATCCAGCAGCAGGAGGGATGTGGAGCTGACGAGGCAGTCGAGGCTGAGGTGGAGGCCGGCGGCGCCGCCGCCAGCCCGCCCCGACGCTGCCGCCGCCGCCTGCTGCTCCTCTGGGTGGAAGTCCACAGCCTGGTAGAGCTCCTCCAGCTCAGCTTCTGTGGGCTCTGGAAGCGCCACCGCCGACCCGCCGCGGCCCTGCGGCAGCTCAGCGCATGGGGCAAACGGTTGGCTGGCCAGTCCTCCGCAGGGCACCCAGCCAGCAAAGGGTCAGCACAGCCAGCCATGGGCCCAACATAAGTTGGGTAGCAGTACCGGGTGGTACGGGAGGGGTGTGCAGTGCAGCACTACCATACCTCGCCAGCTGCGGAGTAGGGGAGGTACCGCAGGAAGCCGGCTGCCTTGGACAGGCCCCACGCCAGGTAGCCCCGCCGCCGCCCGCCGCCACTGCTGCCCGCGCTGCCGGCGCTCGCCAGCGGCACGCTGCTTGCGGCTGAGGAGGAGCCACCCAGCGAGGCCGCCCTGGAAGAGGGCCCTGCTGGTGGTGCTGCTGCTGCTGCTGTGGCGCCACCCAGCGTGGGCCCGCCCACCACAGAGGCTGGCAGCGGCTGCACCCTGCGCCGGGAGCGGCTTGCGGCGGCAGCCGCGTCTTCCATGGCAGCTCCCATGCCGCTGGCAGCCGCCAGCAAGGCGTCCAGCACACGCTGCGCCACGTGGCGACAGGTCAGCACGTCGTCCACGCTCAGGGCCCGCTCCAGCTGCTGCAGCTGCTCGTCGGCAGCCTCCTCGCGCTGCACCAGGCAAGTGCATGTGTGTGTGTGTGGGAATGTGGTGTGTGTGATTGCGAGCATGTGCTGGGGAGGGCGCAGGCTTGGTGGGCACTCTTCAGACCTCCAGCGCCTGCCCTCTGCACCACACAACCCATAGCTGGCTAGCACGGCTGGCCATGGCTGGCCGGCCGGGCCCTCTCACCGCCAGCGAGGCGGGCGCGCCCTCCAGGTGCTTGCGCTCGAGGAAGGCGCGGTACGCAGCCACGTACTGCCTGCGCAGCGCGGCACGCTCGGCGCCATCCCGCCACGCCACAGCGCCCTGCCGCCCGCCGCGCAGCTCGTGCAGCACGGCGTTGACGGCGTACTGCCACACCCGCCTGCGGTACAAGCAAGCAGCGGACCGTGGTACAGCCGATTACAGCAGTATGGTGGGGCGTTGGGGCTACTAGGGCAAGCCTGCCACAACCATGGGAGACGAAGAACCCGACCCAGACCATAACCACTCACCTCCACGGCACCGTGCGCGCCCCGGGCTGGCGCCAGCCTGTGGGGCAGTAGGCTGCGAACCTGTTGCGTGCGGCGCACCAGGCCAGCCGGTCAGCCAGCACCAGCATGTCTGCCGCCTGCCGGCCATCCAGGCTGAGCGGCAGGTGGTGGGTGACGGCGGCGGCGTGCGCCCGCATGCCGCCGTCTGCCGCCGACAGAGCCAGGGTGCTGTGGATGACGCAGTCTGTGGGGAGCAGCACATACGCCAGCTGCTGCTGCTGCTGCTGAGGCGCCAGCTGCAGCGCCGTCGCCGGAATCCCAGCAGCGGCAGCGCCCCCATCGGGAGACGCCGGCTGGCCGCCGGCGCTTGCCTCCTGCTGGTGCTGGCAGCTGCCGGCCGGGTCGGGGGCCGGGCTGGCGCCAGGCTGCCAGTAGAGCGCCAGTCCCTCGACGGCAAACTGCTTCTGGATGCTGCCACGTGCGACTGCCGAGCCGTGGGCCATCACACCAGCATCCTCGCTGAGCAGGAGCGAGGCGTGCTCTGCCTCCCCGGGCAGGCAGGTGTGCAGGCGGCGCAGCTGCACGCCCACGCAGGTGCCAGACTGAGGGTCCTGCACGTGGCAGGCGGCCCAGGGGTTGGCAGCACACGGTGATAAGGCCTAGGAGGCAGCGACGCACATCCAGCGTGACACCTCCCCCACGCCGGCCATTGTGGGCAGGACGCATGGCAGCCGGAGTGGCTGCCACACCAAAACAGAGTTGCGCATGCGCAGCCGCCAAACATCACCCACCGCACTCCGATGACCCGCCACCCCACCCTCCTACCCACCTCAAACTGAATGTGCACCCCGCTGACCGTCAGCTGCAGGCGGTTGACCAGCATGGCCACCACGTGCTGCATGAAGGAGGCCAGCACGCCGCCCTGGCGCCCCGCCGCGGCGGCAGCAGCGTCGGCGTCGGCGCCGCCGGCCGCGGACGCGGCAGCCAGCGCGGCCAGCTCCGCGGCCGCCAGCTCGGCTTGCTTGGCCAGCCAGGCGCGCTCGCCGGCGGGGCCCTCCTCTAGCTCCTCGTCCCGCCGCAGCACCACGCACAGGTGGACATCAGCCAGCTCCACAATGACGGGCGAGCGCAGCGAGCGCAGCGTCGCCCAGGGCACCTGCAGCCGGGTGGTATCGTGCAGCCGCGGTTGGAGAGAACCAGCTGTTGAAGCTCCGGCATGCACATGTGGCGGGCAGGCTGCCCGTCGCAAACATGCACCAGGGCAGGGCTGCACTGCGCTCCATCGCCGCCGCCACCGCACCTGCGCCTGTATCCTGCCAATGCGCCCGCTGCGCAGCGTGAAGGGCAGCTGCAGGTGTTCGAAGGCGTCGCAGCGCAGCGCCACATCCTCCAGGGTCAGGCCAGCGCGCCATGCTGCAGAGGCGGGGGAGCAGGGGGTGAGGAGAGGAAGGGCAGCAGCACAGAGAAGGCCTCCAGGCACCGGCGGCAGGTGGCGGCGGCAGCAGCAGCGGCGGAAACCCTGGGCGCACCGCTCCACAGGCTGACGCGCAGCTGCTCCCTGGAGATGTCGAGAATGCGTCCCAGGCTGTTGGCGAGCGTGTCGTGCAGCACGCGAGCAGCGAAGGTCTGCATTTCGGTGATACAAAGGGCCCGACGCCGCTGCGGCCACGTTTCAGTGATGTGAGCTGCGCATGCCGATTACTCCTTCTAAGCCTCTTGGGTTGCCGCCTGCGACGGCGAGTTCAACGGCGAGCGTCGCAAAAGGACTGGCGCCCGGGCCCTAGCAGCTCCGGGGCGCATGTTGGGACACTTGGAAATGCTCCAGGGGCGAAGGACACCAACTATTCTGCACTCCAGCGTGGCGTGCCAGCTAGACTTCCTGGCAGGGGTCCCCACGGCCTCTATTGAAGAGCAACGGGCTTCAATTCCTTCCCAACAGCGTTGGGCAGCCGTAGACAGGATTAGGGCGCGATGGCGCTCCTTCGCCGATTCCTGAGGAGCACAGAGGACTTCCTGCTGCGAGGTAGGCGGCCCTTGACGATGCCTGCAATGCTGCAAATGCCCTGCCATGGGTGGCAACCCCTGCATCCCTCACCGCCTGCTGCCACGCCGCCGTCACTCGCCACTGCCGCCTGCAGCCCAACGGGGACCGTACGGCGAGGCCTCCCGCACCCTGTTCCAGTTCAAGACGGCAGAAGACCTGGCGCAGTGGACCTCATTCTCCGATGCAGAGCTTGGCGGCAAGTCCACGGTTGCGCTGGAGCTGGGCCAGGAGGCAACGGTGCGCTGTCTGTGATTCCTGCATGCGTTTTCACCTGGTGCAGGGTGGCACTGGTGCTGATCCCCACCATTGAGGCCGTGTATGCCTGCCTCTGCAGGGCACCGGAGTCCTCTCAGGCGTGTACAGCACAGAGGTGGGGGAGAGGGCGCACGAGCGGCTGCGGCGCAGCGGCTACGCGGGCATCACCAGCAAGCCCAGCCCGGAGGGCTTGCTGGACCTTGAGGACTTTGATGCTCTGGTGTTCAGGTGGGTTGCAACGTGAGTGTGGAGGGAGGTAATTGCATTGTGGGCTGGGGGCATGGTGGGGCAGGCAACGGACACTGGGCTGTTTCTTGGAGTTGGGCCCGAGTAGCCACCACCTGTTGATGCGGCTTGCCTTTTCACTGAAGCCTGCCACCCTGCACTGTTCCCTGCCCCTGCAGAGTGCGGGGCGATGGGCGGCAGTACATTGCTAGCATCCGCTGCGAGAACTGGCTGGTGGACCAGCGCTCCCACGACGTGTGGCAGGCCTTCCTGTTTGCGCGGTGAGCTGCGCTGCTGCTGGTGCCGCTGCACTCGCCCCCGGCCACTCCCATGTTCTCGGGCTGCTGCGCTGTTCTGCCATTGCGCGTGTGTGTCCCATTTCCCCACCACCACCACCGCCACCCCTACACCGCAACCGTGCAGTAAGGGGGAGTGGAGCGAGGTGGAGATCCCGCTGTCACGCTTCCTGCTGACGTGGAAGGGCAAGGTGGTGGAGGAGGTGGTGGAGCTGAATGCCAAGCGCATCACCTCGGTCGGCATCTCCCTGGCCGGCGGCGACCAGCTGCAGCCGCACGGCTCCTACCAGCTGGGCCTCGACTGGATAGCGGCGCGCAACACGCGGATACACCAGCCAGACGAGGAGCGGCGGGAGGAGTGACGCGGCTGGCATTCTTTTGAGCTTCCGGATGTGGTGTAACCTTACACCACATGGTGCGCCACATGGTGTCAAGTGTGCGCAACGGTGCCGAGGGGCCAATTGAGCAGGGGCAAGGGGAGCAGGAAGGGGAGCAGCGTCAGCGACACACGAGAGCAAGTGCAGCGGTAAAGAAGAAGTATGGGGTCAGGAGAACACGGGGAGAAACAACTGGCTAGTAGGCGCAGCCAACCCGCCTAGGCCTCCATCTCCTCTTGCTGGAAGGGGTTCGCAATCTCCTCGGTGCCCGCTGTGGGCACCACAAGCATGACGGAGGTGCCTCGGCAGACGATGAGCCCCATGGGCCGCGTCTGATCAGTCACCCGCATGGGGTCTTCAGGATCTGCAGGCACACGCGTGACGAGCCAAACCATAAGTCCACGAGCAGAAGCGATTCCACAGGGCGTGGACCAGGCAAGGGAGCAACGGGCTGGCAGGGCCTGCGGCCCAGCCAGCTGTGCTCGCACCTCTCAAGTACTCTACCGCCTCGTCCAGCACTAGGTTGAGCAGCTGGTCGTAGCCCTTGAGCACTCCCACCACTGCGACGTCCCACCAAGAGGAAGAACAGGAGGCAGAGTGGGCGTGCGCGCGGCGGCAAGCGGCAGGCGGGCGGTGGCGGCAAGGGGCGGGGCTGTGCACGAGCCGGCGCTGCCACACCCGCCGCAGCGCAGCCTGCCACGCATGACCCGAGCTCACCTTCCCGTCCGCCTGCAAGCTTGACACGAATACTCTTGTCTACAAACTTTGCCAGGTCTAGTGCGCTCTCCTTGCCGCGGCCCGCCATGCTGCGTGTGTAGATGTCGCTTCAGGTCGACTGGGGGGTTGTGAAGAGGCGCCAGAGAGTGCAGAGACACCGGCAGCAGAGGGGTGATGGCAGCGGCGAATCGCGAGGTGATCAGTTGCCCAGAGGCAGAGGAGGCTTGCATCAATGTGTGGAGGGTGTCGAGGCGTGCGATGGAGTCCACAGGACGCCGAGAGGCGCAGTAGAAAGGCCGGGAGTCTCCATTTCTTCTCTTCACGGACCTTGTCGCCTCCATCGCTGCACATCGATGCTACAAGAGATCCACCCCATCAATTGAGACCTTCTGACAGCCGTACACACACCCCAGCCCACTCCTGCGCACCGAGGCTGCCATGCAGCCCCGTCTGCAGCCCTGCCGCTTTACTGACTGAGGGAGGGAGGCACTATGGCGCCAGGGGAGGGGGCACGGCGTGTGCACTTTGCGGTGCAGCAGCAGGGCGCCTACGCCTACGCCATCCAGCTGCGCCTCACTCCCGCGCTGCTGGAGGCGCTTCTGGCCGCGCAGGATGCTGGAAGGGCCGCATCCATTTGCTTCGGCGAGGTTCCGCAGTCCAACGTGAGTGTGCACGCTGCAATTGAGGGCGGCGGGCCCGCGGTGGAGGCGGGACCCTGCTGCTGCCAGCAGACGGCATCCCCTGCAAGCCTTACAAGCAGGGGTGCACTCATACCTGATACCAGCTCCTTTGCCTAGCCCTGAGCGCCCCTTGCGCCTTCCACCTGTGTGCCTGCAACCCCTCGCAGGCCATCACCGTCGGCGACGCCGCCTTCCGCTTCAATGCGCTGGCCGAGGAGAGCTGCGACCTGCTGCGCTTGGCTCCCAGCACCGGCGGCAGCCCTGCCATCGTGGGTGCGGTGCGCCAGAAGCTCATGGTGCAGCGCAACATTGAAGACGAGCGGGTGCGGGTACGGGCGCGTGCCGAGGAGGCGGAGCGGCGCGGGCAGGAGCGCAAGGCGCAGCTGCTGGGCAAGCCTGCCGCCAGCCAGGCCATGCCGCGCACCAAGGTGCAGCGTCTCACGCCGCCGCCCTCCGGCCAGCCGCAGCAGCGCGGGCCCACGCCGCCGCCGGCGAGGCAGCAGCAGGTCACCGCCAGCATGCTGTCGGCGCCGGCAGGCAAGCCGCCGACGCACCCCGCGGGGCGCGGGCTGACGCCGCCGCCGCCCGCGGCGGCAGCGGCCGCGCCCGCGCCCAAGGCTGTGCACAAGTCTGCCTCTGCCGGCAAGCTGGGCGGCGGCAAGCACAGCTCGGCAGGCAGCATGGGCTCCCTGCAGCTGGCTGCCAGCCCGCTGGTGCTGCGGGCGGCGCGAAGCGGCGCCAGCCTGCGCCTCTGCCTGATTGCCATCCTGGCCGAGCGCCCCATGTCCATGAATGCCATCAAAGCCGGTGAGTGGAAGAGTGCCAGCCCTGTTTCTGGCAAACGAACATCAACAAGAAGAAAGCCGGCATGGTCCCGGCTTGAACGCTGCTGAGTGGTCACCGCTAACGTGGTGTTTGCGGCCTGCCTGTCTGCTGCCTGCCTGCAGTTCTGTCGGATGCTGCCTCGCGGGTCAAGAGCTTCAAGGTGCCGGGCAAGGAGCAGGTGGAGCGAGCGCTCAAGGCTGTTGCAGGTGCGCTCGGTGCTGCCTGCGCAGAGCTGCCACGCTGTAGCCGGTGTGGAGTTGGCTGGCTCCCAAACCTCCTCAGAAAAAAACCTGCTCTGTGTCGTGTGTTCCATGCTCCTGGCCTCCTGCCAGCCACCACGCTGGCCCGCCTGCCTACTACCGCCTTTCCTCTTCCGCCTGCATTGCAGAGTTCAAGGCTCCCGGACTGTATGTGCTGTACCCTGTGCTGCTCAAGGAGCTGGAGGAGGGGCTCCCCGGCGGCGGCGGCGGCGACTTGCTGGCGCCAGCTGAGCAGCAGGCGTCGCCGCCTGTACCCAGCGTGGATGGCGCCCCCGCGACCAAGAAGCGGCGGGCTGCATCGGCAGCCCCGGCGGGCGCGGCGCCTGCCACCGCTGGGGACCGCGGCGGCGTGCAGCGCAGGCCACCAGCCGCCGGCAAGCGCGCACGCCTCGACTGGACGGATGACGACAGCAGCGATGCCGAGCAGCAGCCTGCAGCGCAGCGCACGAGGCAGCAGCCTGCGGCCGTCCACACCGCCTCGGCGCCCGCGGCCGTCGCTGCGGCCGCGTCGCCGCCCAGCGTGGGCGGCGGGCCCGCCGGCGCCAGCAGCGGCAGCGGCGGCGCCGTGGCGGGTGGCGCAGGCGTGCCGCTGCGCCGCACCAGCAGCAGCCGCGGCTCCGACCAGGCAGACGAGTCGTGGATCGAGGAGCATGCCGACCGGCAGCCGCAGCCCGCGGCGCCCATCCACTCCAAGGAGGTGCGCCGCTGCGCCAGTTGCTTGCCTCGTTTATGCTGTGCTGTGGGGGCACCGCACGCGCAGAGCGCTGGGCAGACATGCTGATGCAGCCCGCTGGCGTGGAGTTGCCCACCCGCCAACACTCCTCTCACTTTCTGCATGCCTCCGCCTCTGCCTGCAGGAGTATCACGAGCGCGCCGCCGCCTTCAACTCCAAGTATGAGGTGAGAGCTGATTGCCTGGTGCCTGCCTCAGCGTGTCAGCCCCGTCTCCCCTCAGCCTCATCGCCGTTGCCCAGTTTGCTCTTGCAACCCCCAGCATGCACGCCTGCTCCTTGATGCTCGGTGCTCCCTCCTTTCCAGCGTGCCTTCTCTGCCGCCGCACCCGCGTGCCTCTGCAGGTCTACTTTGCGCTGCACCAGCTGATAGAGGCGCACAAGAGGGACTTTGAGGGGCTGGATGCCGCCATACGCTGCGCCGCCAGCGAGGCGGAGCGAGACAGGTGCGAGCCTGGTTGGGCTGGACCCGGCTGGCAGTGTGCCACGTGTGCCTAGCGTTGGCAAGGTGCTGGGCAGGCGCAGCAGTGCAGAGCTCCCATGCATTCATCGCTGGATCAGGGAGTCTTGCCAGCATGTCGCTGCTGGCATCCTGAGCGAACTTGCCCTCCCGACTTTGCCTGCAGGCACCGCACCGAGCTGGAGCGGCTGCACCGGCGGCGGGGGGAGCGCGCCAAGCGCTGGGACGCTGCCTACAAGTGGGTTTTGGTTGCTGGTGCAGGTCGCTGGTTTCTGTTTGTCTTTCTGGATGGGCACAGTAAGGTCGAGATGGAGGTGTGCAGCGTTGCGGCCAGCATACTTTGTGGCGTCCGTGCTGCTGACATGCCACGCCCTTCTTGCTCCGCGCGCCCCCTGCAGGGTGCTGCACCAGGAGCTGGCGGCTGCCAAGGCGCGCATGGCGGAGTTTGTGCGCCAGCTGCAGTGCCAGCAGCAGCAGGAGGGCGGCGGGCCGGGGTCGGCCGCGCCTGTTGTGCGCGTCAAGTGAGAGCCGCCCCTGACGCAGCCCTCAGCGTCCCGCCAGACATGATCACCTGCAGCGTTTGCACAGCTGTTGGGACCTGTCAGCATCAGTAGATGACCTAGCAGACGATCCTGTGGGCGGGTGGACAAGAGAGACAGTTGCCCCACCCGCCCACCGTGACTTGCACTAGAGCGTTTGTGCCTTTTGCACTACTTATGACACGAATCAATCCACTGCCAAATGTTTTGGAGCACAATGCCTCCCTCAGTTCCTGTGCCATTTCCCCTCGCTTGCGTCTTGCACCGCCACGCAAAGCACTGCTACCCGTCTGTTCACCCTTTCGCATGCGCCGCAACAGCTGCGCAGCATGGTTTGCACTCTTGCCGGCTGCCTGCTGCAGCGCTTGCACACCTCCTATTCCAGTTTTCTACTCCTTGACCACCGGCCTAGGCTTCCCTGCACACAGGTGTATGCACCGGCGGAGCGTGCTCCAGCCCGCGTGCCTGCTGCAGGGCCCCTCTGCCGGCCAACGCTGTGTACTGTTTTCTTCCTTACCTTGCCCGGGCCTGCCCTTGCAGTTGGCAGGCCCGTCTTACTCGTCGGACCCTCTTGCTGCTGTCCCTCTTGGCACAGCTAGCAGGCTCCCAGGGGCATCGCCCCGCCTTGTTCTGGTAGCCCGCGCAGCGGCATGCCTCATGCCGCCCCGCTCAGGCCTCTCCCTGCTTGCGCTTCCCTTTGCGTCTTCCGCTCACTCTCCTGCCTCGCCTCTGTCCCTGCGATTGCCTGAATTCCCACCCTCACCGGTCCCTGCCTCTCCCTGCCACTGCTGCTCTGCACTGATGCGACCACATGTGCATGTACATGTGCATGGGCGCTGCAGCAAGGCAGAGTAGTGTAACAACATTGTGAAGTTTCCATTGACAGCAAGAAACAAAGCAAGAAACATAGCAAGATGAAAAAATCGCATGGAACACATGTGTTTGGACTCGGCAGCTGGATGGCTCAGCCTCAGTCGGCATGCAGATGATCCAGCTGCTCCACTTCCGCCTTGAGCTGCTCCATCTTCAGCCCCATCGACCGCTGCAGCTTGCCCCGCTCCTCCTCACTGCAGCGCACCCAACACACAAGCTAATGGGGCACATGTGCACACGCTCTCTTCAGGCATCAGCGATCCCTGCCTGTGCCTGCCACTCGCGGCGCCATGCCCCGCACCGCACCTCAGCCTGCCGCACAGCTGCTGGTAGGCGTCGAGGACCTCTTTGACCGACTTGCGTGCCGCATCGCAGCTCTCGTTGAAGTACACAGTCTCTGCAGTAGGCCAGCAACACCATAGCAAACATGGGACCCGACCATGATGTACCCAGAGGTGAGACCGGTTGGTCTGTGGGCGTCCGATGAGGAACAGGACGGGTGCAGCTAGTGGCGGCACCAGGACTGGGTGTTTGCACAAGGCGGCACCAGCGCTGCGCGGCTGATCCACAGCCGCATGGATTGGCCTCGTGTGAACGAACCTGCATCCTCTTGCGCATACTCAATTTCATCTCGGGCCTGCAGAAGAGAACCACGAGAATCCCCGTTGAGGACAGACACGAGTCAAAATGGCTCGTGCACGAGCAGAGCATCATCACAGGCAGAACAGGGATCCCAGGGTTTCCCATCCCGCACCTCGACAAACTTCTCGTTGATGGCCTCAATCTGCGGCAGAGGTAAAAACTTGCCAGGCCAGGCCTCAACTGAGCCGGCAGCGGCAGGAGCGGTTCAGAGGCGGGGGCGGCAGCTGGGCGGCTGACACCAACCTCGTCTTTGCAATCATCGAGCGTGGTGTAGCATCTCGATTGCCGCTGGTCGGGGTGTAGGAGCTGCAAAGGCCGCTTGCACAGGGCGACCTCGACCCGCAGGCCAAGTCGCTGCGCCAGCGATGCCAGGCTGCGTGCGTTCATTGCTCAATTTGTTCTGGAAGTGAGAAAACGATGATGAGACAAATGCGGGCTTCAGCCTCTTCAGTTGGCAAGACCTCCCACATGCGGGCCTGCCACCCACAGAACCAGGCGATTTTTGTGCCCATATAATTTTCATTGGCTTACAGCACCTACCCACCGCCATCAAAGATGCAGGTGGCAGCCGGCTGCGCCTTGGCGCCGCACTTTGCCGCCTCTAGACAGCCCCACCGCAGCAGCGCGCCAGCCGGCCAGCCATTGCGGCATGCAGGGCGCTCCAATGCACTTGCTGCAGCCAGAGGGCGGGGGGTGAGGGCAATGGCTGCCGCCGCCACAGGCGCCGGCACCACCTCGACGGCTGACCCGCCGCTGGCTTCAGCGGACGGCACGACCCGGCAGATGTTCAAGAAGATGGAGCAGAATGATGCAGCCGGGGAGCAGTGTAAGTTTAAAGCATGATCATCGAACATTAGGCCGTTTACACTGCGCAGAAGTTGCTTTTTTGGCCGCCTGGCCGCCACTCGCCGAACCGCCCTCGCCCTCCCACATGCCCGCCTGCAGCCCTGGGCGCCGGCGGCACCACCAGCTACGAGGCCCTGAAGCGTGCGGACGCGGCTTGGCGCGACTTGCACACCCGCAAGGTGCAAGGCGGGGGACCGCCCAGCATGGTGCACTGCAGCCCTGCTTCCCTCACCGCGGCCACACACCCGTCCCAGCACCACATTTGATTGAGCTGGCACGCGCTTTGCTGTGCCTGTGCTCGCCTCCTCCTGCTGCAGGTGTGGGGCCCGCGGCCGCAGTTTGTGCGCACCACGCAGAAACCGCTTGCCGCGCCTCTCGATGTCGATGTGCTGGTCTGTGGCGGCACCCTGGGCATCTTCTTGGCCACCTCGCTGCAGCTGCGAGGTGGGCTGGCCACACGGCTGCAAGCTGAACGACCGCGGGAAAGGATGGCATGAAAGGGAGCAGTGGGATGCCTGTGCGGCAGAGTCCTCTCGTCCCTGCCAAGTACCTCATCCACCGTCCATCTCTTGTGTTGGGGGCTGCCCTGCTGTGCAGGTCTGCAGGTGGCGGTGGTGGAGCGTGGGCCGCTGCTGGGGCGCGCCCAGGAGTGGAACATCTCCAAGAAGGAGATGGAGGAGCTGGTGAGAAGCTGGCGGGGACAGGGCCTGTGCCTGGGCCTCCATGCTGGCCTTGCGCTGCCTGCCTTCGCCTGGTTGTGTGCTGTGGACAGGCAAGCACACCCATTAACACGGCTGTATCGCCTGCAAGGGCCGCCGGCGCTATGAGCAGGTCGAGCTGGGGGTGTTGACAGAGCAGGATGTGCAGGACTGCACATCCATTGAGTTCAACCCAGGTCCGCGCCTGCCTGCCCGCCCGCCTGCTTGCCCTCCCTCTGCTGCGCTCGTGTACCTCTGCCCAGCCGCCAAGCTATGTGCCTGCCGCCACCCACGCCTACACACATACACACACACACCCTTGCATGGCTGCACGTTGCTGGCCTGCAGTGCGTGTGGGCTTCCATGGAGACAAGCCCGGCGCTGGCGTGGAGGTGTGGACCCGGGATGTGCTCAACCTGGGCGTGTCGCCCGCGCGCCTGGTGGAGGCGGCACGGGTGAGCATGCAGGCCGGCGGTGTTGCAGTTGAGCACTGCGTCACGCGGGAGCAGCCGACCAGCTTCGCCAGCTTCTCCCTGCCGCCGATCCAGAGTTGACGGCGGCCTTGAACCGCATGTGTCTTGGTGCCTTTTTGCAGCGGCGCTTCGAGGCTGCGGGTGGCCGGGTGCTGGAGCGCACGCCGCTGGCGGGCGTGACTGTGCATCCCGATGGAGTGAGCGTGCAGCTGGGCAGCGGCGCGGGCGGCAGCAGTAACGGTGGCGGCGGCGATGCCGCGCCCCAGCAGCTGACCGCTGCGCTGCTGCTGGACTCTATGGGCCATGCCAGTCCCGTCGTGCAGCAAGTGCGGTGGGGCAGGAAGCCCGACGGCATATGCCTGGTGGTGGGCAGCTGCAGCCGCGGGTTTGACCCCGCCGCCAACACCACCGGCGACGTCATCTTCACAAACTCCCACTCCCAGCCGCCCGCGCCGGTGGCCAGCAGCAGCGGCAGCAGCGGCGGCGGCGGCGATGGTGGCGACCCAGGGGGCGTGCACAACGCGCAGCTGTTCTGGGAGGCCTTCCCCGCCAGCACCGGCCCCGGGGACCGCACCACATACCTGTTCACCTACGTGGATGCAGAGGCAAGTGCAGGGGCAGCATCCGCAATGGCTTTGTTCTGTGCTTGCATGCCTGACGATCACTGCCGATCGCAGCCGCATATGCAGCATCCTCACCCGCATGCCCACAATCGCCTGCCTGTGGTACACCCGCCTGCCCTTCACCTGCCGCCGCTGCGTTGCGCTTGCCTGCCTGCGTGCAGCCCAGCCGCCCCTCGCTGGAGGCTTTGATGGAGGAGTACTGGAAGCTGATGCCGCAGTACCAGGGGGTGGTCCTGGAGCAGCTGCAGCCGCTGCGCATCCTCTTTGGCTGGTTCCCCACCTATCGAGGCTCCCCTTTGCGCCCCGCCTTTGACCGCGTGATGCAAGTGGGCGACGCCAGCGGCATCCAGTCACCGCTGAGGTGAGCACGCGTGTGTGGCTGCACATGGTGGGGCCTCCGGCAGTCCACCAGTGTACAACGCGGGAGCGCGGTGCCATCTGATATGCTGCCTGGTGGCCGGCCGACCCGCGCCTCTCGCCTGCGCCCTGCTCTGCCCCGCAGCTTTGGCGGGTTTGGCGCGCTGACGCGCCACCTGGGCCGCCTGAGCGGCGCCATCTGCGAGGCGCTCGAGACGGGCATGGTGGACGCGCGCAGCCTGGCGCTCATCAACGCCTACAACCCGGGGCTCAGCGGCGCCTGGATGCTGCAGAGGGCCATGTCCATCCGCTCGGATGCCAGGAGCTACAGGGCGGACTTCATCAACCGCCTGCTGGCAGCCAACTTCAAGGTTGGTGGGGAGCTGAGGGGGCAGGCAGCCGCAGCAGCAGGTGGTGTGGGAAGGCAGCTGCCCCTGGCCCGGCCCTCCCACCCCTCGAGCATGCCGGCCTGTGCCTGTTGCTTGCTGGGCATGTTGGTGCCCACCCGGTTGGCGGCGTCTGTGTTTTGCAGGCGATGGAGGAGCTGGGGGAGCCCACCCTGAAGCCCTTCCTGCAAGACGTGATTCAGCTCAAGCCGCTGGTGCAGACCCTGGGCAAGCAGGTGAAGGGATTGCACATGCCGCGTCACAGACTGCAGTGCAGGCCGCCTCAGTTAAGAGATGCGGCACGTGGCTGGGTGCCCCACCGTCCTCGTGCCTGCCCCCTGCTTGCGCGCAGATGCTGTCTGATCCGCTCATGGTGCCTCAGATCATGGCCAGGGTGGGGCTGGCCGCCATGGCTGACTGGATGCTACACCTGCTGGGCCTGGCCGCCTATTCATTCCTCCACTGGGACGTGCAGGTGGGTTTGAGATTGGTGGGTGGGATTGGGTGGGGGTTGGGGGGATGGTGGAGGCAGGTGGGGAGGGCATGCGTGCGGCATGCTTGTGTATCTGCAGCCTGGCCTGCTGCGGCTTTGGGCACTCGCCACTGCCCTGCGCCATGTGCCGCGCGGCCCACACCTGGCGCGGTGCGCGTGCAGAAGTACCGGCCGCTGATCGAGAAGCTGCCGCCCAAGCCGCGCTTCCTCATGCACCGCGCCATGGACAACTGGAAGTATGGCGCTGGCAAGGACTACACGCTCTAGGGCTGTCAGGACAACCACAAGCTCTTTGTAGTCTCCGCATGTTTGTGAATATAACAAGGAAGAGAGAGCGAGAGTTCACATTACCGCTGTTCCACCAACCTGTTTTTCTTGTCAGTTCCGACTCCCCGACTGCTCCGATACACCGGCCCTTCTGTTCAGACTCCCCACCTGCTGTACTCTGGTTCATCTGCCCACGCTGTTCTGCTTCTGCACATTGCGATTCATTTGCATTTGACTTCAGTGTAAGCCCTCAACCAGCCCTCACTACATCACTCAGGAGAAAATGGAGCTGCTGGCGGAGCTGCGGTACATGCTGTCGGCGGCCGCCGCCAGCCCTGCCAGCAGCTGGGGCCGGGGCTGCGGCTTGGCCAACGCCGCCGACGCCGCGCCGCCGCCTACAAGCCTCAGCGCCGCCGCTGCGCCCCGCCCCAGGTGGAACAGGAACTGTGCGTCTGCCACCTGCTGCTGCTGCACCCCCGCCACCAGCGCCGCCGGCAGCTGCTGCAGCTCGCACCGCGCCAGCAGTGCGGCCGGCAGCCCGCCCAGCAGCGTGGCCCCCGGCAGCGGCGGCGGCAGGCCGCCTGCTCCGCTGCCGCCTCCTGCTGCTGCCGCCGCCTCGGCTGCCGCTGTCTGCAGCGAGAACACGAGATCCTCGTCGGCGGGGCTGCCCGGCCCGCGGTAGCTCATAGCAGGAAGCGTGGCCGCCACCACCGCAGCGCGCGGCTGCAACGCCGCCATCACGCGCTTGGCCCAGGCCGTCGCCTGCTCCTGCGGCAGCTCGCGCGGGCACTCCACCACCAGCAGCGCCGGGAGGGTGCCGCCGCTGGCTGCCGGGAGCCCGCTGATGCCGCATCTGTGCAGCTGCTGGTGGCTGGTGCCGTACTCCTCTTCCAGCGGCGACCTGACTCGCACCAGCTCTGGCACCGTGATGCTGCCCAGCGGCTGCACAGGAGGGCCCAGCAGCGGCAGGGAAGGTCCAAGATGATGCAGGGCAATGGGCGCACGGAGCGGCACAGCAGCGGCGGCATTCCAGCAGGGTGCTGGCAGGGCCTGCTGGCCGACGGCATGCCCACCTGAGTGCTCTGCAAAAATGTGCCAGCCAGCAGGCAGGCCGCCTGTCCCACCAGGAACACCTGCACAGAGAAGAGGAGGGGTGCCGTTTGTGGCTAGGGAGTTGGCGGCGGCGGCGGGCGGCGGTGACGGCGGTGGCGGCACAGCTCGGCTCACCACGATGGGCTTCTCTACATCAGCGGCTCCCTCAGCCCACTGCAGCCACGGCGAGGTGAGCGGTAGTGAGTGGGCAGTAGCATTGCACATTTCGCCTGGCCGTGATCAGGGTGGTGGGCACCAACCTGCACCTCCGGCTGCGCATCGTATTGCGGCGCCAGCTCCTGGGCCTGCTGCTCGTCCTCCTCCTCGACCACGATCCTGTGGGTGGTGTCCCCAGTGAGGGGGTCCTCCAGCCACATTGCGATGGCTCAATACAGTCTGGCAAGGCTTACAGTTATCGAAATGTAGAAGATCATGTGCTGCCAGCTCTGGCGGCAAGAGCTCCAGGTCACTGCCAGATCGATGGCCATGCAGCCATGGAGCCCGAGACGCGCAGAGGCCCTCCCTTGGGCGCAATTGATGGCAATGTTGCCAAACAGGGATCATGCGGCACAGGCTTCCCTCCTGCAATGCGGTCAAAGTTTCGGGGCAAGCTCTGCGGTGCGCCTGACGGTCCGCACCGGCGCAGCTGAATACGAAATCATGCAGCACTCCGCGGGCAGCCCTGCCGCCAGTCCAAGGCGCCAGGCCTCCCCTTCCAAGTCGGCGCTGAAGGCCCAGAGGCGCGTGCACTTTGCAGCGGAACCAGAGGTGCAGCAGTTTACCGCAGACGGGGAATCAAGCGATGCCGAGCAGGGCATCACCTTGCCCACCGACGCCGACGCCAGCGCCAATGCGGCGCAAGGTGCACAGCTCCCCAGGCAGAGCCCACCCCAGCAGCATTACTTTGCTACCCCGCCCGCGCCTGCGCCATCGTACAGCTCATGGTATGGCTGCTCGACGGCTGCTGGAACGGGCTATCAGTGGCCACATCAGCAGCAGCAGCCGCAACGGACGCAGCAGCAGGAGCAGGGCCAGCAGGCACGCTGGACGACTGGCAGTTTCGGCTCCAGCCAGCCGGCCACACAGACTGCACACGGCAGGCCGCAGCAAACCACGCAGCCGCAGCATCAGGAGCAGCAGTATGGGCTGGCGCCTTCTGGGGTAGCAGCGGCAGAGGGCAGCGTGCAGTCTTGCGGCAGCACGCCGAGCAGACACCCGGTATCGGTTGAAAGAGGCGGCGACGCCGGGTCGCCGCATGGTGCATTCCCCGACCATCAGCATGTCAAGGTGCACACTAACAGCGTCAGCATCACAGTGAGCTCGCCTCGAGTGCAGCTGGCGAGTGGTAATGCCGGGGAGGAGAAGCTGGCGAGCAAGAGCTGGCAAGCACAGCCCGAGGTGCAGCAGCGGAAGCAGCCCGAGAGCCCAGTAGCCATGATGCAAGTAGCAGCGGCGGCAACACAGACGGATGTTGCAGCTGAGCCGCACTGGTTTCCACGCAGTGTTCGGGCGGCAAACGCTCAGCAGCAGCAGCCCAGTCACCCGACCGTGCCGCCTCCCGCCTGGGTGGCGTGCCAGCCCAGCCTAGCGGAGTGCTGTCGTGGCAGTGACCAAAAACGCCAGGAGCAGGCAGCTGCTGACAGCCATGGCGATGCACGTTGCTGGTGCCGCCCACAGATGCAGGGCAGTGGCAACCATATCACACAGCAGCAGCCCACATGTACAGGGAGGCCGCTGGGTGTTTCTGCTGCAGATGCGCTGCCCGCGCGCCTGGCCGCGCAGCAGCTGGGCAGCCTGGCGGGGATGTCTCGCCAGGTGCAGGAGGCCATTCTGCACAGCCAGCGGCTGTGTGAGCGCCAGGCGTCGGTGGTGGGGAAGAGCCTCCACAAGCTTCACTTCCCGGTTTTAACGTCTAGCTTTAGACCATTATTTGATCTGCCCGACGCGCCAAGTGCAGTACCCCCCACTAGTAGTGAATGGGTCCCGGGGAGGCCTGTGCCGAAGCCTTGGCGATTCTATTAGGCGTTCCCGAAGGAATTGGCTTGGATTGGCGCTGAGCCGGTGGTAGAGCAAGCCGTGCTGGCCCGCGCCTTTTACGTGAGTCTGCAGCCAATGCCACAGCTGATGGCATTATAACGTGCTGCTGACATGTGACCACATAGAGGGCGGACAGAATGCTGCAGCATTTCAGTGTTGAGTTGCTGCTGCTGCTGCTGCAGGCTTGGCACCATTTGCAGACATGCCAGGGGCAGCGGCGGCAGTCTGTGCTGGCGGCTCGCCATCAGAGCGACCTGGGGCACCTGCGCCGGTGCCTGCATGCCTGGCGGGAGCAGTGCGGACGGCATGAGTGGCAGTCGCAGGTCCTGTGCCGAGCGCTGGTGCTGCTGCAGCGGCAGCTGATGGCCCGCTGCTGGCGGGAGTGGCGTCGGCAGTGCTGGCTGCGATGGTGGAAGGTGCAGCTGGAGCTGAGGGACCAGCAGATACAGCTGCTGGGTATTCAGGCAAGCCAGGGCAGCAGCAGGGTATTGGGGGGCGCGCTGCCTGGCTTAGTTGCTGCTACTCACACATATGGCATAGACAAAGTGCAGCCCAGTGCCAATGCCCATTTTGCATGCAGCTGCGGCACCTGGAGAGCCGGCCGGTGCGCTACATGGCACGCTTCCGCTTGCGTGCCTGGCTGGCAGCCTGGCGGCGGGCGGTTGAGTACCAGCAGGCAAAGCGGGCCATGTTGGCAGCAGCATCGCGGCATGCTTCCCGCGCAGCAGCGCTGTCCACGTTTGCTGGGTGGCAGGCAGTGGCGGACGAGAAGGCAGCTGATCGGCGGGACTTGCAGCGAGCAGGTAGGCTACTGGGCCGCCTGCGGCTGCGCCACGCCACCGCTGCCTGGCAGGCGCAGGTGGGGTGCCAGGCAGCCTGGCACCAATGCGTGGCAAGGGCCCATCAGCTGCGGCGGCAGCAGCTGCTGCAGCGTGCTTCCCGCGGCTGGCGGTACCTCGCTTGGTTCCAGCAGGCTGCCAGGGCAGCGCAGCAGCAGCGACACCTGCTGGAGCTTGCCGCTGCTTTTGCAGCCTGGAGGCAGCAGGCGGCACTTGCCACGGCCACGGCAGCTCTTCTGGCCGAGCAAGCGCAAGTCAGGGCCGCCCGGCTGGTGGCCTCTGCCTTTTGCGGCTGGCAGGCATATGTGGAGGGCAGGCAGGGCAGGCAGCAGGCGGAAGAACTGGCGAGGTGAGGGCCATGGGTTGGCTGCAGCAGTCACCTTGGCCAGCTTTCGCCATGCAGAGATGGATGGGCTGTGCTCCCATGCATCCTTCATCATTCCGCCATTCTGCCGTGCAGAGCCTCGGAGCAGCTGCGCGTGCTGGCAGCCGAGAGCGAGCAGCTGAGGCGGGACAATGAGCGGCTGTGCCGCGTGATTGACAGCGGGGACTGGGGGCGGCAGCGGGTGGAGGAGCTGCTGCAGGCTGGTCAGGTGCTGCAGGAGGAGCGGGATGCCCTGGCCAAGCTGGTGGGCAGCATGCAGCAGCAGCCGCAGCAGCAGGCGGGCTCGCTGCTGGCGGCGCCTCCGCCGTTGCACAACGCCACCAACAGTCCCAGCGTGGCTCAGCAGTTCCGCATGCCTGCAGCCGGCATGCACCCTGCTACAGGCAGCGCCCAGCCGGCTTGCCTCATCGCCGCCAAACGGCCCCCCGGCTGCACCGGCGCCGCCGATGGTGGCGGCTTGCAGCCCGCCTCCCGCCCCGCCTCGCCAGCCCGCAACAAGCTGCTGGTCAGGAGCGCTTCTTCTTTCAACGCCATGGTGAGGGCCTTGAAGCAGGACCTTCTGCCCAGCGGCGCCCTGCAGCGCAGCCCTGGGGCAGTGTATGAGGTGGACAAGCTGTCCCTGCACCGGCTGTCCGTGGCGGCGGCCGACGGCGGCGACGGGGCGGCGATGGAGGTGCGGGCGGTGGGCAGCCCCGACCGGCGAGGAGTTGCTTTTGGCAGCAGTTACCCTGCCTCGCCCAAGCACCAGCTGGATGTGGCAGCAGCAGGGGCAGCACCGGTGGGGCTCCCCGCGGGAGACCCGGCCCGCCAGAGCGGCAGCGGCCTGCTGGCTGCGGCACTGCGGCTGCAAGGAATTGGCGGCAGGAGCGTGGGGCTGCATAGGGGAAGCAGATGAAGGCCGGCTTGCTGTCCTGTCTAGCTCGATGTGATTTGTGTGCAAATCTTGCTAGGAGGCACGTAAACTAACGTCAGTGGCAGCTCCTCTGGGGCGGCATGGGGGTGGCGGGCGCCACCCCGCCAGCTGGACGGACCTAGCTGGACGGACCTAGCTGGACGGAGGACCGCGGGCTCCATATGATTCCACCGTTTCCCCCCCTGAGTCGCCCGTGCTTGGTCATATCTTTTTCTTCTGCCAAGCGCGCGCTTTGCCGGACCGTCCGCAGCGCATCAACAGCCCACAGCAGGGAAAGGGTGACCTGCTCTGCCGCGCTACTACTCCCATTCCCCTTCGAGGACGCTCAGGTGTGCGCTCAGCTTGTGAACATGTCAGGTGGGTTGGGGTGGACCTCCACCCATCGACTGCTGAGGTCCGGCTCAGGCGGTGCGACTGTGAGTGGGCAGCTGTGCAGCTGCGGGTGGGGCGGGAAGCTGCCGCCGCCGCCGCCGCCACACACGCAGGAACGAGTGTGTGTGGTTCCAGCAGAAGCAGGCTTGTAGGGCAGACTCCCAGCCATCCTGCCCGCTGCAGGCAGGTTGTGTGCACACGAAATGCTGCGACGCCATCTGCTGGTGGCGGCAGCAATTGTGCTGGTCGCAGCAGGGCCGGCGCTGGGCTGGGCGCCTCAGCCCGACCCGCTACCGTTCACCACTAGGGTGGAATTCGCCGTCGCAGTTGTATACAACAATGTTTCTGAGATGCCCTGGCGGTTGTCACCCATCCTGGTGAGGCGCCGCCCCTTGCTTGTGTGGGCTTAAAGTCTGGTAAAGCAAGAACTAGCTTGCAACATAGACTCCCCGCCGAAACGGGACGGGAACCGGGCGAAAGCAGAGAAAGCAATAAAACAGGGGTGGAGCAAGGCGACATGCAACGCAAGCAGCTGACAGGGCACGCATCGAAACGTGTGTATGACTGGCAAAGTGGCATGGCGCATTGGGGAGAAACGCAACGGTACGGGAGCATGGGCTGGCCAAACGGCAGTGCGGAACGCTAGGTCACTAGAA